AAGGAAATCCAGGAGATTTGGGGATGCTTAGTCTCAGGAATTTTAAACCCTTTTATTTCAATTAGGTTGAAATATACAGGTGAAATGCATAATTCTCTGGTGACCTATGGGATACTGGGCAAGGTATGATCTAACAGCAATGCCCATTCATTAGGGCTTCTAGAGTGATGCTTGAGGTTTTAAATATATTTGGGTGTTTTTTTTTACTGATTTCAGAGAGGAAGGGAGAGATAGAAACATCAATGGTGAGAGAGAGAATAATTGATCAGCTGCCTTCTGCACGCCCCCCACAGGGGATCCAGCTGGCAACCTGGGCATGAGCCCTTGACTGGAATCAAACTCAGGACCCTCAGTCCACAGGCATATCCTCTACCCACCGAGCCAAACCAGCTAGGGCGATGCTTGAGGTTGTAAAGAGGAAGTGTTACCATATTGCACAATGCAAAATCTATTTTCAGTTCAGATTCCAAGCAGGAAGCAATTCTTCCCATTAAATGGTGTTTAAGATGCTCCTTCCATGGCCAGAATACTGACACATGTTGGTTTGGCTGGAAAGGACACCCTGCCTCCCACTTCTGCCCCCCAACAACAACAACAAACCACTCACATAGAGAACTCAGGCTAGAGCGTCAGGAACTATCACCCCATACAGCCTTTCTCAAAAATTAGTGGTAAGGCAGGTAGATACCACAGGAAGGCCTCCATGGAAAATGGCCACTTGATTTGTTACCCAAAGGCTGTACTTGAGCCAGTAAGACATAGACTAACACAAAGAATCAAGTAAGGCAGCGGTTCTCAACCTGTGGGTCGCGACCCCTTTGGCGGTCGAACGATCCTTTCACAGGGATCGCCTAAGACCATCCTGCATATCAGATATTTAAATTACAATTCATAACAGTAACAACATTACAGTTATGAAGTAGCAACGAAAATAATTTTATGGTTGGGTCACAACATGAGGAACTGTATTTAAAGGGCCAGAAGGTTGAGAACCACTAATAAGGGCTCCAAAAAAGTAGACAGGAAAAAACAGACAGCACACAACAAGGCAATTTGGGGCATAGAAGAGGGTCCCCATGTGATGAAAGAAAAGCATAGTTTGGAATCAAACTATTTCCGAGACTCCCCTGAATAGGGTTGTTATTAATTCCTTGGAGAAAGTGATCTGGAAATTGATAGGAGAAATCTCAGTGTATCTGTTAGAGTTTATCATACACATATGTAAATATGTGTATATACAGGGTGTCCCCCAAAATGTATACACACTTTAACAGCTGATACCTTAATTTTGAAAATGAAATGTATTTTAATAAACAAATTTATAATGATTCAAAGTGTGTGTATACATTTTTTGGGATACCTATATACATAGATAGATGTATATATACATATATATCTATTTATGCATAATGAGCTGTATACAATATTCTTTATAGAGTGGACATTTATAAATCTTAACAGATAAGTTGTTGCCTTCATAACATTCCAAGATTAAAATCTTATTTATGTATCATGTCTGCCTATTTTCTCTATCTATCTATCTATCTATCTATCATCTTCCTATGTATCTCCAAAAAAGACAAATATATCTGTCACAAAGTGAGTACATTTTCTTGCTAGTTTTTCTAAAGTTCATCATTTTGCAGTTCCTGAATGAAAACTACTAGATTATTCAAAAGTTTGGTGTTTCGTCATTGTTCCTACTGAGTTCTTTTTGTGTTTTTTTTTCTTTTCTTTTCTACTACTGGGTTCTTTTTAACATTTCTAACATTTACAGGTGTTTACACTTCTGAATACTTGTTCAAGATTTCCCACTCCCTCAAGAAATAACTCCACCCTTTCTCCTCTCAAACAACCCATTTCCAACTTTTCTTCTTAACTATTTTAGCTTATCTAAATCTTTCTGTTCTTTGAGGCTCTGCCCTCTAGTAAATGTTCAACATGGATTTGCTATTTGGACTTAATTGAAAAAAAATCTCATTCCAAGTATATGAACCAGGGACAGGCCATAAGTTTGGGTTTGGTGTTCATCTACACCTGTCACAACCTGAGATGGCACATCTGAGATGTCAATTCTGCTAGCTTACACTAAGGAGATACCAGGGGTGACTCATTAATCCTGAGTAAGTCTTCTCTTCTGTCACTTGTCCTTACCTGAAGTTTCTTCATTTCTGAACCCCATTTCATGAAAAGAAGCCCTGGAATGTATCCTGGAAATAAGCCTGTCATCTTTCTTAAGGTTAAAATAATCAGGATATGCCAGGGCCTTACCTTGGTAAAGGGCAGAAGGAGGAGCTGGATTTTTATTTGGGACAGTTCCTCATTTGAATAAATGTTTACTGAACTAAGTGGAGGGAGTTCCATCTAAAATTTGGAAAGAAGCCAGAAAAGGAAGCAGATCAGAGTAGAAGGGAGGAAAGAGTGCAGTTTTTCCGTTTTTAGAGTTTT